TTTCTTTGAACTAAAGCTGGCTTTTAAACTTGTAAATGAAAGGAGAAAATAAATTTGTATCTGATACATTACTCTGGTATAAATTTCCATAGATACAAGAGTTTCCACTTGTTTCATTGGTGTATTTTAACCATATTTTGCATAACTGTTTCTCATTAAGTAAAGTCCACTGAATAGCACATTTGTTATCAATATGAGGGGATCTTTCCTCCACCCCACGCATCACAAAGGACTTCATTTTCCTCTGGAGCTGTATACTATGGAGCCATTTTAAGCACGGTTGTTTCTTCTCAAATAAGAATAAAACTTAAAAAATGTTATTAAATAGTTAGTAAAACTGTGGTCTTTTGTGAAAAGTACACGTTCCATTTGCAAGACCCTGCTGACAGATTACAGTTCAACTCTGACTTTCCCAGTTATAGCACCGAACTCTCAATGTTAGGATTCTTTTCATTCTTTTCAAGTGCAAATGTTTATCATGAAAAAGTTTTAAACATGGATCTAACAGTTCAGGCAGTTTCTGCAGCAAGAAAACAAGCATGCAAACCTTCAACTCCTTAGCAGGCAGATATGTTTACCAGTAGCCTCAAGCACAGTTCTATCAGTACTTTTCCATGCAGTGCAAGCTCCTTTGCAAGCTCCACTTGAGGCTACAGCTGCAGTTTGGAATAGATATTGAACCTGCTTTGTACTAACACAGGTCTGCCTTAAGGGTTCAACAGTTTGAGCAAATGGGGAAAAAAAGAAAACCAGTAAAACAAGAATGTATAACTATAACAAATCAGGGGAAAGTTGTTGATGCAACCCAATTTCAAAGCTGCATCGTCAAACAGAAATTTGTCCTGCTAACATGATGTAATTTATTTCTTTATGGCTGTATTTAAAGTTTCAGTTAAACAGCATGTTAACAAATGATTTATCAAATTAAAGCTCTGGTAAGGCTAGCCTTATGAGATGTTTACAATTAATTGCAGATCTGAGACCAGATGTATCTGCAGTTTTCTAATGCCATGCAACTTTGGAGGTTTAGGGTTAGAGCTAAGGATGGCATGTTTGGATTCTGAAGATCCACCCACATCTGCAGGCTTAAAACATCAATTACACTTGTGCAACATCCTGTTGATCTTCCTCTTCACCCACTTTATCTCCTGCTCTTAAGGCTCAAAGCATTATCTAGATGCTGCCTCCCTCTACTGGGACTTAAAGGTAATGACAAGACATTCTCATTGTCAGTGTCAGCAAATACTGTGGAGTTTTCTTTGACATTTTCACATGGTTAAGTACACAAAAGGCTACCAAACTACTAATACTCAGAGAACTGTTATGTTTTAATAGTTGTTGGCAGTCTGCAGGTAAAGTAGCTGAGAGCCTTGAGTTGAGATTGCCAGTCTTTTATATTGCATTAATTGGAGTAGGAACACTCACTCTGCGTACTGCACAGTCAAATAATATTAATATGTAATAGACCATGACATTTTGTGTCATAACATTTGTTGGATTTTACCCAAATTCTTTTATTGAAAGCACAAGAAGTGAAGACAGGAGAGGACTGTTTAAAATCAACAGGAAGTTTAGTCAAAGTCTGGGCACAAGTGAAGCCATACAGCGCTGGGATCAGAGCAACAGAGCTCCTGCAAAAAATCCGTTCTCTGAGGCATGAGTTACATGTTTACATTGAATTTATCTCCTTGGGCTAGGCCCGCCCTAGAGAGAGGTACAACATTTCACACTTCGTAATCCTATTGGCCATTTGGTGTGAGTAGGTCAACCCCTACCTGTGCCTGCCTGCTTGCTGAAATATGATCTAACCCAGGAGTGTATTTCTTGATCCATGGACACTGAACAATGGGTGGTCTGGGCTGCAGGCCCCCCTGTGTGTGTGATGCTAATAAGTATGCTAAACTGGCCAGGTGGTCATCTCAGGTTGTAGGCCCCCTGCCTCTGCAGGACACCCCATGACAAAGCAGAACTTGGGATATGCTAAGCGGGTCTAGGTGAAGGTGCAAAACAGGCCAACAGGTCTTTGTTAAAATGTAAAATAGGCTGTCTGGTTACCTGAAGGTACATACACAATGTCTACACAGAAGTTAAATCAGGCAGTTTCTACTTCAGTATCACTTGACTCTCATCCATACAATTGTAAGATATATAAGCAAGGAAAATAAATGTATTAAAAGTAACCAAAGCTCAGTAGTTCTGGACAATCATCAATACAGCTGTAATATATATAAGCAAGGAAAATAAAGGTATGAAAGGTAACTAAAAGAAAATGAAGAACTGAAAAGTAACTAAAGGAAACTAGAGTTATGAAAAGTAACTCAAGGGAACTAAAGGTATGAAAAGTAACTAAAGCTTATAAAGTAACTAGAGCCTACAAGAATCAAATCGTACACATTTGTGGTGATGGAAAGTAACGAAATGCATTTACTCAAGTACTAAACTTAAGTGCAGTTTTGAAATACCTGATTATATCCATTTTTGCTGCTTTATACTTCTATTACAGTAGATTTGAGAAGTATTGTAATTTTTACTTCACCACATGTAATTACTTTTCAGATGAAAAAATGGGGGAAAACACAAGCAAGATAACTGAACCCTAAAATAGGATAATACAGCAAACTGAACTGCACAGTACCTCAAACATAATCCGAGACACAAATGGGGAACATATATATGGGTTGGCCAAACCAGTAACACACAGGGAATGAACAAAGACACTAACAAAATAATCTACCAATAAACACTAAATAGGCAGTTTTCTTAAAAGTAAAAACCAGCATAGCATGACAAACAAAGTTTTAATATGAGCTACAACAAATGAACAATATATTTTTCCATAAAGTCGCCCCTCTCCTGTTTTGGGCATTTGGTGCAGTCCAGGCCTAGTGGGAGGTATTTAAGCCTGCTGCCTCCTCACTGGGATGTCATCAGTGTATTCTGTATGTACGGAGGGAAACTCTGTGTGTGCCCTCTAGGGTCAGATGGGGATCATTATTAGTTATTTTGTAAATCGGAGATTAGCTAACAAACAGACAATGTGGAAAATTATTTCGATGAGACATTTTATGTCTGTCATTTATTGTTTGGGATTAAAGTTATAAACTGTACATTTACTTTGACCTGTAAAGAGAGACGGTGTTCTCGAGGGTTTTTGTTTTTGAGATATCCGAAGTAATCCCGTGTTGGTAATTCACATTTCTTTTAGCGAGCCCCGCACATAGCTGAAAATTGCACCTGTCCTGGTGAAAGCGTCTGGTCATGGTTAGAGGATCGTCAGTGGATGTATGCGCAGCAAAATGGTGTTAATGTGTCTCCGGTTCCGTGAAATCGTCAAGTGAAAGAAACTTGCAAAACAAACACTGTTAACTCTTAACGTTTAACTGTTGGCTGAGGTAACATCGCTTATGGCGCAGCAAGAAAAAAACAAAGTGAGATACCATCTTAGATGAAAGTGGAGTGAGGAAAGATAAAGTGAATTGGTATCTTCCAGCTTCTGACTGACTGAACACACCTGAGCCAGGTAATCAGCAGCAGGTCAGGCAGGGACAGTTAGAAAACAAGCAGGACAGTGGCCCTTAAGGACTGGAATTGGCCACCCCTGATCTATTGCAAGTCTTATTCTTGTGGGTAAAATTGTGCAATACAATTAGCTTTTTGGCCTTTCCCCCTTTCCATATCCATATAGACATGCCATTCCTTTTCTATTACTGCTGTTATTTGGTGTGTAATACAAAAAAATCATAGACCATGAAATAATGTTTTTACATTATAAAACATTTATTGAAATATAAATCATCTGATTGTACATGATGTAAAATAATGACACATAGTAGTAAATTATATCAGGGCCAGTTACCTATAATTACAGATACTATACCGTCAACAACACATTGCTCATGTGTAGCACAAACATTCACATTCACACTGCTTTAAACAGCTAAAGCTAAAGCAAGACTTTTCTCTGTTTCAGTTCAGCTTGCCTAACTAGTCAGCAACATCCAAAACATAATGGAAAAACAGGAAAGTGCAACTGATTGCAGATTATATCACAGTCAACAGTAGCTGGGAGATACAGATGATTACTAAGAGTCTAAGAATAATTGATGTATGACATCAGAGCAACTTAGATCTCAAGTTCATCTAGTGTCTTAAAATGACTAGAACCTGTTAAAGGACTTCAACAGATAAAATGTGAGACACGAGGGCATAGTCTGCTAGTAAAACACTGCTTTTGGATATAGCTAAAAACTTCTGGGCCACACTAGCATGTTTACTGTCATTATGAGGTGACTTTTTCTTTTGCCTCTTGTATTTTATGCCTCCCTTACGTGTGTTTTACAGGACAAATATGGGAAAATAAAAATATTTCCCATGCAACTTTCTAAAACAGACACTGTGAAATTCTGTATGTGATCCATTTCACTGAATACAAGAACATTTTTTTGTTCTAATGTATCATCAACAGGCTTCAGAAGCTTAACATGTGCTTACATAAAATACATGAACGTTATCCCAATAATTATCTCTTATAAATTTGCTATTTACAATACAATCATACTTTGTTTATCAAAGCCAAATGACAAATATGACTGCGGTCTTGTGAGGAATGACACTGGAGAATATTTACTTATATCTGGGCAATAGGTGAGATACTGCAAAAACGCACGCAACCCACAAGCACTTTGCCAATAACCATTCAAACAGCTATAGTCAGTATCTGCTCGGTATTCAAAAATAATACATGTTTATATAGTCACAAAGTAAAAAAATATATTTGAATTACTGCATGTATTTAACCATTGAAAATGGAAGATGGTCCTATACAAAAAAAATGCACGTAGTCCAGATTTTGTGCTTTTAAATCAGAGTATTGCTACTGATTGTACCAGCATCGGGTCCTTTTTTAGCAGCAGGTAAATGTGGAGGGTGTTTACTGCCAATGCTGTTGCTAGTATCAGACTTGTCTAGTTTAAATTGTATATATATATCACATGAATGATCTGCTGTGGTGGTTGTTCATTTAGAGCTGCTGACCAGCATGTTTGAGTCGTTCCTCCTGCTTATTTTGCTGTTAAAAGAATGCCCAATAGAATAAAACTCTGCAAATTAAAACGACATTGTTGTTCTCTCTTATCTAGCTAGGTCCAACACACAGGCTCAGTGACTGTGGTTATTTGAGTCCTTGATGTTTTCATCAATGCTCACCTGCTTGTCCAGCCCAGTAGGGGGCACTGTCCAGGGAGAAGTGAGAAGCGTACCATACTGTCATCACAAACTCCTCCAGGCAGTGAAGTGGTTTTGTTTTGTCCTCTGAAAGGGCATTTAAGTAGGAGGAATAGCGGGGCTAGAGGGGAGACAGCAGTCTTTCTCTAGTTTCCTGTATCCCTATGTCCCTTTTCCTTGCTGCTCCTGCTCTACAGGCTGAGCAGTTGTCACAGAAAACTGTCCTCCACCAGGTCACTACAGTCCAGACACATCTCGTCCAGCAGCGTGATATCCTCCAGAGTCTCACCCTCGCGCTTAGCAAAGGTGGAGCTGCTGGAGCCCGTTTCGATGGCACTCTCCTCAGACGTCTGTGAGCTGCAGGGCACACAGATAACACACGTTAGTGCCATCTTGGGTGTAATATAGACAGAGTACTGCAGGACAGGTAGATCTTTGGTCCTTTTACCTGTGTCTGTTCCTCTTTCCATATTCATCATCAGATATAGGATCCAGGTCAGGCAAGGGAATGATGTAGCCACTGTCAGAGCTCAGCCGCTGTTCATCAAAGCCGCTTTCCCTGTCCTTCAGCTTGCCCTGGTTCTTGTAGGTGATGCCGATGTAGGCGTCATCATTTTCCATGCACACCCGAGTCACAGCAGGATGGTCGCTTTTTAGGAACTCGTGGTTCACCCTCTCATAATGCTGCACAAGACAGACATATACATTAGATTTAAAAGTTGTTAGATAGTGGAAACAGAAAATATATCACATTTATCTTGTTGCACAGAAGCAATGATGAAACCATATATTGTACAAGTCCAATAAAGCCCAACAGAACCATAGTACTGGTATTAGTGTGAACACTGGTTGTGCTGCCAGCTGGATAATGAATAATCAAAAGTAAATGTCTCACACCCCATCCAAACAACAAGAGAAGACTTCTCTTCTGCCCTTTAAAACTGTGAAAGAGGCAGAGGTAAAGCTGTTTTGATGTGTTGCATGAAGTATAATGGTGTATTTAAGGTTGGGTATTGGAGGCAAGAACTGGGGCTGTGTGATTTGCCAAACTGAGGCATTTGCACTCATGATTTGTAGGTTTGGGTTTCACAGAAACACAGAAGCAACTCCTAATGCACTCTCCGAGGAAGTGGAAGAGTTTTTAATAGCACCTTAACCTCTAGAGTCCTGAGCTTTGGAAACCCAAGCTGTGCGGTCCTCATATGAGGACGCAGGGACTCTAGAGGTTATGAATGTATTTTAAATCTTTTAAACCTGTAATTTGGTCAACACAATTAAAATTAAGGCATGAGAGAGGATATTTCAGCCTAAAAAAAGTTAATCAGATACAAAATGAAAAACTAAACAGAGGAACCGAACGTCAAGGTCTAACCATGAGGTCAAGAATGTGAGGGGATAAATTAGTGTGAGAAGTCACATGGAGACTCACTCTCTTGTAGCTGAAGGGCAGCAAAGAAGCTACAGTTTCACTCAGACCCAGAAAAGTGGGCCTCTTCTCTGGCTCACTGTTCCAGCACTTCATCATCATCTCATACCTGCAAAAGCAAAAACAGCCCCATTACCATGGAGAGCAGTGCAACCTGTATATCACAGCTCAGGGATAAACTGTTGTGAGGTTTCAGCCAAATGCGTTGCTTGTTTGACAGAATATTAGGAGAAGAAGCTTTAACGCAACAGCAGCAGGTGATCACGCACACATCATGAGGTGCATGCTCTGGTTTGGACATCCTGTATCCACTCTTAATCTTGTTGTAGAAGCTCGAGTCCACAACCATCCCTGGGTATGGGGTGCCACCTTCAGACGGAAACATATTATCATGAGTTTGACCAAGCTACTGTCATCTCAGGAATTTCTTTTCTCTAATAAACTATTGCACAGGCTCACCTAAGGAGAATATCTCCCAGAGGAGGATGCCGTAGGACCAAACATCACTGAGAGTGGTGTACAAATTGTCAAAAATACTTTCAGGTGCCATCCACTTCACTGGGAGAAAGGTCTATGAGGTGAAAGACAGGAAATGATCAATAATACTTGCAAAGTACTTGCATTCACTGAATCCCCTATTATGTAAGCTACTGAGACTCAGAAAGCTGAATGTTACACTGTAAGGTGATGTAGGGTTCAGCACTGTTACCTCCTGGTCAGAAAATTGGAGGTTCAACTTAGTATATACTGAAATTCAGATTGCACTTTTTTAAGTTATTAAGACTGTTCCATAATTATCACAATATGAATGTAAAATAACTGCAGATATGTAGTAGTCACATAATTTGAGCCAAGCCCTTCTGTAAAATTTTATTTCAGAGGATACATCCCCTATTATGTAAACTAGAGATACTTAGAAAGCTGAAAGGGTCAGCACTACTGTCTCCCAGTCAGAGGATTAGGGGTTCAAATCCACATGGGTACATGCATGTACTGAGCTACAGATTCCAGTTTTTCTAAGATATTTAGATTTGGTGCAATTATCACCACACTATCAATGTAAAATAATTGCAGATATATGGTAGTAACATGACATGATCCAAGCCCTTCTGAAATAAAATTTTATAGGAGATGAACCACCCACTATGTAGTTTATGGAGACTTAAACTATAAGATGGTGTAGTGGTCAGTGCTGTTGTTTCTCAGTCAGACGTTTAGGTGTTCGTAATCCACATGGGTACATGCAATAAAGCTACTCTTTATGCAAAAAGTAATATATGACCAGAGACTTACACTCCCTTTGGAGACATAGTTGTTGTCATGCATGATGTCTCTGGCCAGTCCAAAGTCACAGATCTTTACTATTTTGCCCTGAGAAAGAAGGACATTCCTGGCTGCGAGGTCCCGATGCACACACTGTCAAAAAAGAGATTAAACAAAAGTGATTAGCAGATTTTTACTTCATGCACCTTTGTTCCATCAATTCCCAAACCAGCATACTCTGCTCCCATAGATACCGACTGCATCTATTTCTGCATGTATTTATGTCAGTCGGATGCATTTTTAACGCTCTTTCATATTGCTTTATAAAGCATGGTTTTTGTGTAAACATGTCAGTTGGAGGGATGGCTGTGACCACTGGATATTTAGGGATAATAACTATGAAGCTGAATAAAAAGCTTCTGGCTACAGTGTGTCCCTGCCTGGTAATTCTAGCCCTGGCTGTGCTGCTACTATATTCAGCCCCAGCCTCTTTCCTGAGTGAGTTCAGCAGCCTTCACTGCTTCACTGCTTATCACTCAACTGCTGGTTTCCTCAGCCCCCCTTCTTTGGCCAGCGTGGCTGTCATCATATAGCGTCTAATCCACAACCAGTGGAATGCAGCGGAATGCAAGGCTGCAAACCCCAGCGGTGAAAAAGAAATGTGAATTTCATGAACACATACATTTTTGGAAGCCAGGAATTCCATGCCTTTGGCCACTTGGTAGGTAAAGCTGAGCAGGTCGGTGGTGGTCAGGCCCTCATTCATGTCATCTGATAGCAGGTTGTCCATCTCGCCCTCTGGTTTACACACACACAGATAGAAAACATTGTGAGGCGGTCCACGAGTATATGTTCGTCATGTATTGTAAATATAGTACTGGCAGCTCAAACCTGGCTTTTACTAATGGTAGGGAGAAACTGGGCATTATTATGTGTGTGCTACAATTATCCCCTCCATGTAATTACAGGGCTGTACCAGTCCTAAATTCTGACACGGGTGTATCCCTCAACCAACACTGACTCAAACATAGCGCTATAAAGCCAAGCAAGTACAAACCAATAAGTTGGAGAAGAGGAGGACTGAGAGAGGAGAAAGAAGCACAGCACGTACCACTCGAGCCTTTCTGAGAGGGTGGGTGATCGTAGTTGGACCTTTGGATGTCCGAGTACTTGGAGGCATTGCTCATCTCCAGCATGGGCACATACTGAGTGTTGTCAGCTTGTTTCATATCCATGTAGTCTCCTTTGCTCTCAAAGGACAGGATCACATAACTGTGGGCAAAGACAAGAGAGGAATTCTGTTACTGATGAGGCAAAAATAGGTTGTGGGAATACTGTGGTATATAAAGATGTATGGTGATAAAACATTATGTCATGCATCTTATTCCATCCCCTATTGAGTCTACTTCAATGTGTATGTGTCCTCAAATCCTCTCCCTCCATGAGGCTGAGGTTAGAGGAAGATGTGGTTGAGGCTAACATGGTAGCCAGGATTATATCATGTTGTGGTCATTTCGAGGTGTGGTAGTTATGAGTCATCCATCAACACAGATGAGCCTCAAAGAGAGAGAGAGAAAGGGCTGCTGTTCGACCAAGAGCGTCTGAGTGAACAGAATTAACAGATACCTCTGATACAATGAAATTAGTTTGAAAGCTGAGACCATATTGAACTACAATTTGATTAGGTGAAGATGCCAGGCAATCTCCTCAACCACAGAGAAAATGGTGATAGAGTTACCAATCAGGGGTTAGGGGAGAATGGGAGTGTGTGGGAGACAGTTGAGCAAATTGTTGTGTCAGTGGCTATAATATTTGGGAGTGGAAGAGAGGAAGCGTACTGATAGAAAAAGTCTATTTAAAGGTGTGTGTTTTTGTACTTTAACATTTTCTAATCATGATAAGGGTCTGAATTACAAGAAAAAGCTAAAAATCAACTCCTTGGATAAAGAGATGGAAGTGCCCATGTTTATACTTTCAAACATATATGAGATACCTCCGGCTGCTCTCATCTGCAGGGTTGATGCCAAAGATGTCCAGATCTTTTTTACTTTTCTCTGGGTTCAGACTGAGGAAGTTGTCTCTGTTTTTGTGCAGGTAGTTGACCAGGTCTCCGTAGAGGCAGTACTCTGTGATAATGTAGATAGGGCCTGGGAACAACACAGCAGATAGAGTTGTCCATCGGCGTCAGTCTGCAGGCTAATCTTATCAGAGGCTTGTAAAAGCTAAAAGCAAGAGGACAAGCCTCCACTTTCTCATAAAAAGCCTATTAAAATACCACACCTACCAAGAACTGAGACAGGGCAGTCAGTCCGTTTTGCTGTTAGAGCTGTACAACTGCAAATCTGGATGAATGAGTGTGTGTGTATGAGCATGCATGGTTTTTGCAGCGTGAATGTGGGCATTTGCGTGTGTTTGTAAAGTGGTGCTAAACTGTAACAATGGTTAAACTAAGCTGTTATTATACAGTATGTGTTGCTTATGATTGTGTTTATTCACCTGACTTAGTGCATGCTCCCAGGAGATTAACAATGTTGAGATGAGGTCCCAGATGAGTCATGATCTTCAGTTCAGACATCAGGGCCTGTTTCTCACTGGATCGTGCCGTGGCTGAAAACGGCACAGCAACCACATGATCACACCAAGGAAGCCGACCAACCAGGCATTCAGCCAAGATCACCTCAGCATTCAGCCAAGAATGCCATAATTAGTTGCATTATATTTTTGTTAAAAAGTGTCTTTATCTATTCTATATATTCCTGAGTATCTTCCTTTCCATCACTTTCTCCCTGTCACTATTGTTGTGGGCACAAAGTTCTGCACCAGTTGAATAAAAACAGCTGCCAGCGGAGGCGTTCCTAGACATTCATCTTTCATTTTTGTTTAGCAGGTCAAATATTTTCAGATACTGATCCAATTTATTATTGCATTGTTTTAGCAGGGTTTTTCAAAGCCCCCCAACACCAACTGTCTACCACCCATATGCCAAATTGGCATTATTAAAAATACAACAAATTAGCTATGACTAGTTCCTGTTTACAGTGTACCAGGGGATGCACAGACATCTATCACTGGATTGCTCTGAAAGTAAGGAAAACTAAAAAACATGAGGCAAGTTCTGTAATAACACGTGATTTCTAAGTGAATTTATGGATATTTCTTTTGCAATGGGTAACGATATCCTCAAGAAGAGTAAGTCACATATAATGTAAAAATATCCTATCATGTCTGTGTTTTCAGATTTGACTCTGAGAATGAGTGCAGTTTATTTATGCAAATTGTGGCAATTGAGTGCTAATGGCTTTAAAGCAGTTGCTACAGATAAAACAGCTGAATATGTTGATAAGATGGTCACATTAGCAAGCCATACTAACTCACTGTCTTACGGTTGGTAATTACTGTAGCATAACTAACTCATGGTCTTACGGTTGGTAATTACTGTAGCATGCATATATGGCAGGGTCATAACACCCGTTCATTTCACGTAGTATCTTTGCCTCACATCTGCCTCCTTCAGCTTTCATAAACCCCCTGAGGATGTGCGCCTCACAGACTGAGAGCCAGACCAGATTTATTGTTTATATGTATTGTAGTAGTAGTTGCCCACACTTAATTGGTCTAAATAGTGAATGTCAGTGGTAGAAAGAAACATATCAGGTGAATGGTAGCAGCATGGCTTAAATGTCTTGTCACCTGTAATCTGGTAAACTCACGTTTCAGCATCTTTACTGCCACCTTCATGACGGGTTGGGAGCGACTGAGTCCATAGGCGGTGCCTTCTACCACTTTCCCAAAAGCTCCGGAGCCCAGGACACGACCTGACAAACACACACATAGGATTAATTATCATGGAAGAAAAACAAAAGCAACTGCACAAGCACAATCATACAAATACATCCATGCACTTTGCATGCCTCTGTTTTCTCATATGTGACTCCTTTACTGGCTGAATGTCCCCTTGATTACTGAGTCAAACCAAAACCCCAGCCAGCAAACATCTGCTGCCCAAGGTTATCTTATCTCTTCAAAGAACTAGTGATAACATCCCTGCAGGAAGGCTGCAGAGCTACAGGACATGACTAGAGCATTAGCACATTGAAAATGACAGTAAGCTCACCAAGCACAAGCCTGTCACGGGGGAACTCCCATCTGGAGTCATAGGGAAGCTGCATGGGATCGACATAGATGTATTCATGGCCATCTGGGCTCACAGACTCTATGACCCTCCAGCGGATCTCATATCGTGGTTTCTGGAAGATGGGGAAAATATATAGAGCTGACAAATGAATCCTTGTCAAGTTGAGGCTGGTTGTTGGACCTGCTGCCAGCTTTTAGACTATTTCCAATAACCTTCTCTTAGCCTTGTAAAACCAAGCACAAATGTAGTTTTATTTACTGGTTTAGACCAAGAGCATTGTTACTTGCAGGAAAAGAATAGACCAGCTTTTAACCAGTCACAACAGAAAATCTCATACTAAAAATCTACATTGTGACATTTAAGATGGATTTTGCAAAGCTAAGAAAAAAAAGAGTGAATAAATGAGTGACTGAAAGAGTGAATATGTGCGAATGAATGCAGGATGATGACAGCAATACCTGTTTCCAGATTACAACCAAGACAATGAGTGAGATGATGACAATGACCAGGAGCACCAGCACAGCAGCAGCTACACTCAGCTCAGGATGAGGGCCTGTTCAGGAGGACAGCCAGTGGTCACATGTTAAATGGAGCGCCAATTAATCACATGGATGCAACATGTGTCAGCTGTAATGATGAATTAAGTGCTTGAAATACATTGGATGTGTCACAAATTACCTCAGTTAGAAAAAAAGTAACAATTAAATCCTAAGACCAAAAGGTATTCGGGGAAGATAACATGAAAGCAGGAGATGGGGGAGGAGAGCAGGTACTGGCTTAGGGGGAGTGGGCACAGGAGTAGGATGTGAGGATGGGGGTGTAAAACTCAAAAGAAAAAACAAAATGGCCTAATGATGTCTGCCTTCCCTGTCAGAATAAGAGTCCCCTCCTCATAGTCCCCTATCAGCTGTCTCACCACTCTGAGTGTCAGAAATGGAAGGGACTTCAGAGTGAACAAGGTGGAAATGACAACATCAAAAGTTAATTCAAAGCTGGCTAAAGAGGAAAGTTACTTTAAACAAACATGAATAAAATGTGTCTGTGTGTGCTTACCGCTGGACACTAGCTTGACCTCCCTGGCGACAGTGGCCATTTCATTCCTAGCCAGGCAGCGCACAGCCAATGTGTTCTCTAGATGGCCAAACATGACCTGGCTCTCCAGGTTATTGTCCTTATCGATGTGCGAGTCCACTGTGATCTCTGTGGCATTGGCAGGGAGGGGCCCCCAGGAGGATGAGTCATTGGCACAACTGTGTCAAGAGATACAGTCAGTTAAAGTGTTTAATGACTGCAGGTGTGTAGATTGAAAAGGAAAATAGATCAATGTTGTGCTAAAGAAGACTGAACTCACTGTTTGATGTTTTTGCAAATGAACCACTCCACCACAGGTGTGGGCTGCCCTCTAGCAATACACAGCACAGACTGGCCTGCAGCTGAGCCATGGTGGATGTCCATTAGGTCAACAATCACTGCAGGCACTGTTAACATCCAGAGGTAAGCACAGCAAAGTGTGTAAACATGTGAAAAAGACAGACTGTAACTGGGGCTACAAGGTTGTGACAGCAGTATCCAAGGAAATAAATGTGATGAAAGGCTTGAGGCGTTCCTCTTTCTGACCTCTGACTTCCAGCATTAAGCTGACATCTTGACTTTGGTTTCCATTCTCCACTCGTATGGTGTAGTTCCCGCTGTCCTCCTCCTTGGCTCGGATCAAGGTGAGAACACTCATGTAGCTACAAGGAACATCAAAAACAGAAACAGCAATCACTACACAAGTTCGCAATTGCATTAAATCCTAATTAGAGGCCTGGTTAATGCGTGGCAATGGTACTTTTAGCTTGTCATTACTGGACCTTGGCCAGGCGTCTCACCTGGTCTCGTTGAGCTGCCGGAGACTGGTGGAGATCTCTGTCACACTGCTGAGTGGGGTGCCATCTTTGAGCCAAGTGACATGAGCAGTGGGGAAGGAGCTGATTTCGGCCCTGAACTCACGGACCTCATCCAACTCTGCCCATTCATATTCTTTGAACAGCGGCTGGATGGACATAAACTCACTTGCTGTTAGAAAAGAAGAGAAGCCAACAGACAGTCAACAGTCACTGATCAGCACAGGAAAGAAAAGATTATATGAAATAATATTCTATGAAGTAATGCCACATACAATTCCGTATTGTAAGTAAACAAAACATATCTTTCATACCAAACACTCTGATAGCTAGTTGCTTTGTCTGGCTCTCATTTGTAATAATATCAGTGATGGAGCAGGAGTAGATGCCGCTGTCTTTGGTTGAGGCTTGTGGGATGGTCAGGGTGTAAATGATCTCGTGATCCTTCTTATTCTCATGCACTGCTTTGATTGCACGATTGGCCTGTCAACCAACGAGGGACATCAAGTACTTTGAATCTCAAACTGCCTGACAGTCAGACTCAGTGAACAACAGCAACATTTGAGAAACTAAAAACAAAACACAAAGTCTCTGTGAATTCTATTTTGTGTTACATAGAGTGACTTGTGTCCTCACCAGTTTTCCAGGGTATTTCCAGTGGTCTTCCAGAATCTCAGATCCCTGAGCAAGACAGGTGACTGTGATAGTGTCTCCCACCAGGAGAGCAGTCTGCTTGGCTGTCAGCTCAACATGCAGAGCAGCAGCACCTGAGATACCAGAAGGTTAAGATGTCTGTGTCAGGGTACAGATCCACCAAAGAAAACATGGAACTTAAGATCAGATTTGAAAGGCTGAATAACTAGTTCTGAATGATGTCACACACATCTTCTGACACAGCTCTACACATTCACAAACACACACCTGTCCAGCCATGAACGATGTATTCCTCACTGTAATGTTCCTCTCCGTTTATTAGGGCCTTACAGACGTAGGTTCCAGCAGTAAATATCCCCAAAGCACCCCTCTTGCTGTCATAAACACTAGGCACAGGCAGCTGGGTGTCAACGTTAACCAGGGTCACGTTAGCACTGGGATCAGATACTCGACACTGGATCTCCATCTCCTCATTGTCTGACAGGATGTGGTTACCAAAACTCACCAGTGATGGCACAAAGGGAACATCTCGATCTGAGTTGGAGTACAAAAATGTAAATAATATAAAACAATAAAAACACACAAGCACTAATTTCCTGTGTGCCACATACCTGGCACATAGATGTAGATGCTGCTGTCCTCCATCTCATCAGTGGCATTTCTGCTGTAAAAACATATGTAGTAGCCAGTGTGCATTGCAGTGGCTTTTTCCACAGTAATGGTGGAGATGAACAGGCCGCTGTTGTCCTCCTGCATTTGCTCAGACACATCGAGTGGTTTCTCCCAGGCTAGTTGTGCCTCTCCGTGACAGGTTAAGGTGAAAGGAGTGTGGAGGGGCACCACCATCTCCTCTAGCTGTGGCAGCAGCACAGGGGCAGAGGAGGGTGGGAACATCATTGCAGTGGGGGCTGAAAGAAATGTGTACAGCACTCTGTCATAAATCACAAATACTATGTATGTGTCAGTGTATCAGTGTATGTATCAATCTTACCTTTCACTTTGAGAGTAAAAGAGAATTGAGCAGTCCGAGAGCCACTGAGGGCTATAATGGTATAATTCCCATTGTCTTTCTCCAGAGGCTGTCGGAATGTCAGAATGCTCTGATACCTGTGAAAAGAAGTACGTACTCTTATTTAAACTAATAGTTTTATTCTCAAAAGTTAGATAATAAGTATAATACCACTCTCATGTCTGTATGCTAAAGCTACAGCGAGCAGTTAGATTAGCTTAAAGCCAGGGAGAAGGAGAGAAAGTTAGCTCTAAGGCAACAAAATACACTTGCAAACTCATTTATACTCACTAATATAGCATCTATTTGTAAAGTGTAAAACTGACATGCTGTGGTTTTACAGAAAGTTTTTGCAGGAACTATTAATCCAGGAAGTTAATGCCCCTTCTCAAGAAACAATTCAGCACATAAACTATCCTTAAAACAGTAAATTGTCATTTTTTTAATAGATAAAACAGACAGGATATACATTTGTTCATTTTTGATGCACTGCTTGTGCATTTTGTTACCTTAGGAAAAAGTCAGGCTAGTCATTTCCCCATTTTCAGTGTTTATGCTAGGCTAAGCTAACTACCTCTTGGCTCCAGCTTCGCATTTAATATACAGACAAAAGAGTGGTATCAGTCTTCTAATCTAATTCTCAGCAAGAAAGTGAAAAGGCTTATTTCTTTCAAACTACTCTGTATTAATAGATCTCACCGGTTGCCTTCAAGGTGGCTCGTTTTGGTGAGGATGAAGTAGCTCCCTGGTAGAGCCCTGCCATCTTTCAGCCACTTCACTTTGGGTGCTGGGTAGGCATCAATCAGGATAGTAAACTCTGTCTCCTCCAAAAGGCTGATAAACTCAGTGGCTAGAATTCCACTGTAGTCCAGTACCACAAAGGAATTTTCTTCTGAAAAAGAAAATAATAAGCAGTTGATAAAGGGTAAAGAATTTGATATAGTGAGTACAAACAGTGTGAGGATTAAAATGACAGCAGAGTGACAGAGAGGGTGAAGGAGAACTGAAGGCCTGACACACATCTGTTGAAGTCATCCCATAAAGCATAGTAGCTGATGTTGAAAACAGAAGTGAAGCTTTGCAGTCTGACGGTAGAAAATGACTTCCACACACACCTCTAAAAGCACATACAGTATGTGAAACCATGACTAATTTACCTAATTGATGATGAGAATGTTAAACGAGGCTCAAGTTACTGTAGGTCAGTCGTGTGAGCTTTTCACACTAAAGCAATCATGTTGAAGACTCACTGAAGCCATCCAGGAAACATTTCCAGGGGCAGACTTACCAAAGACGGTAACAGCCACGCTGCTGACTCTGACCTCTCTGGTGATTACGTGGGTGATGGAGCACTCGTAGGTCCCACTATCCTGAGAGGTGGCTTCTAGGATACTGAGAGTGTAGATGACTCGGTCAGGAAAGGTCTCTTTCAGTTGAACTGCATCCACAGCCTATGTGAACAGAAGAACAATATGGGTTGGTGGAGATTGCGGAAAAAAACTGTCTTGGCAATATGCTACTACATTTTTAAACATTTTTAACTGTTTTTGTTTTACAGGTACACTGCCAGTGTCTCTGAATCGGTGCTTCGTGCTGTTGAAGACTAATGGTTAAAACACTTGCTAGGCCACAGGAGATAAATCAGGATCACAGAGCCTTTTAAAAGTCTGTAATTGCAGCTAAGACCAAAACCAGAAGTCAAGAGTCCTGTGTTCCTACCAGTACCATCTCTGGAAAATAGCTTAGTGGAATCCCATGCAGAAAAACATACAACAGGCTCTACAGATTAGGAATTAGAGTATAAATATAAACAAACAAACTGCACATGAAACTCTTTCAGATCACTGCAGATACCATGTCAAAAGTATTAAATGTTTAGCTGGCTGTCACATGTCAACAGCATCTGTCCTACATGTCTTAAGGTCACTGGGCTCAAAGGATTTACTATCTTGTTTTTCTTTTCTTTTGAAACTTTAACTTTCCTGTCAGTTCCTTCTGCATGCGGATGACTGCAGCAGTTTGGCTGACTGTTCCCATAATGAAAACACAGCGTTCAGTTACTGTTTTCCTAACAGATGCTTTGGAACCACCAAGGACCGTCTTCAGAGCTATATTCCACTTGACACTGAAAGGTTCAGGTCCAAAACCATTATTTGCTAATTTAACGCTCAGTGATGCTGGGTAGGAAATGACTTGGACATGACAAGGAGCTGAAGAAAACAGTGCAAGACAGAGAGGGCAGATGCATGAAGCCGGAGAGGAGACTAAATGCCATTTTAAAGTACAAGGACAGGAAAAAGCATTGCATTCTTGCCTGTTTTTTAGGATGGAGCCACTGCTGCTGAAAGCCCAGCCCTGTGGGAGTGGTGCAGGTGATGGTGAAAGGCTGCCCTGCTCTCACCGTCTCCTCACTAGCTTTTACTTCCACACTGAAATCCTCCATCTCTGCAGGGGCTACAGTGGCACCTGAGAGCAGATATCAGCAGAGTCATCTCACAGGTCCAAAAATGGTGGCAACTTGATTAGCAAGAGCTCATTTATCATTGAACAGTGGCTCAGTGGGTCGCCATGAGTCACTCACACACACAGAGTGAAAACAGACGCGTTAAATCATCTCCCTCCTTGATAATGGTGTAATGTCATGACTCTCGTGTATTGAAATCACCCTGCAGACTTCATATTAACATTACATATTAATTACATTGATGAAGATCAATATAGATTCAGTTATCTTCTCGTACAAGTCACTCTCAGAAATCTAGACAATATCAGACCAAATCTGTGTTGCCTCAACCTACCCTCAGTTTTCACAGTGTAAATTGCACTTGTGACTGTCTGCCCATACACAGTGGTTTCACACTGGTACTGCCCAGGAGAGAGGCTCCCAAAGAAGCCCATCTTGCTGTCATAGTAGGCAGACATCTCCTCTCCACTGGGGACACTCCTCAGGATGACAGGAAAGTAGGGGTCCGACACACGACAGGAGATGGGGACTCCATTCCGGTCCATCTGGACAACCAAGTTGTCAGGGGTCTCAGGAACAAATGGCACCTGGGGATCTAGGTGAGAGGTCACACGGAGTAAAAAAGCCCCTTTGTTAGTTCCTAAGCTTCACTTAAAACTTCCACTGGCATCATGTGAAAACACAAACTCACCTGGCACAAAGACATATATTCCCGCCTCATTCTCTTCTTCCAAGTCAGTCTGTAGTTCATCCTTCTGGGTTTCATATACACACATGTAGTAGCCGGTGTTTTCTACTGTTGCATTATAAATGAAGAGCGTTGCCGTGTAGTATCCCGGATAAACGTAGGTGTTTTCCTGCAGCGGCTCGGCCCAAATCACATTTCTTTTTCCGGTGCAACTTATGTTGAACACAGACATAGGCTGCACGATCAATGCTTCTTTGTCAGGCACAATGGTTGGTGGCAGTCCAGAGGTAACTGAGAGATAGTATTGAAAACAGTAGAGCAGGGGTGTCAAACTCAAATACACAGTGGGACAAAATTAAAAACTGGGACAAAGTTACGGGCCAGACTCTATATTTATTGGAATATTGAATAAAACTGAGCATGTTTTCCCTTCTCTCCGGATATATAATTCTAAACCTTTTCATATGGAAACAAACAAGTTGCTTAAACATTGAATTTGGAACAAGCAAAGCTTAATCTTCTAAACACATGAGAAATCAAAATTCAAATAAAAATAAAAAATCAGTGGCATTCATTTCTTATTGTTTTGTGAACATTTTCTGCTGTGAAACCAGACTTCTTTTCATTCTGGAGCTTCTGCCCCATGTCCAGGTCCTTGTACCTATCTTGTACCACCTTTTGTTTCATAGTGTTTTCTTATGTTATATTCTTTCGTCACAGCCACGTTGGCTCCACACACAGGACAAAACAGGTCTGAACAGATAATCTTCTTCCCACCTGTCTTGAAAGCTCCTGTTTTCTTACCTGACAGTAGCGCTGCCAACATACTCCCAAGGACGATATACGTCTTGACCCCTCCCATAACTGTGAATGTCCTGACCTGTAAAGACAAAAAAAAATGTTATTTGGTCAACAAATATGGTTAACACTTTGGGTTTTTGTTGGGGTTCGTCCTGATAAAGATAGGGCATCACAATCTCCTATTTTTGTCCCTTTGGATAACATTATTTAATCAGTAAATCCGTGGCTTAGGCCAAGCCATGCCCATGCTGTCGATTATCCCTTTAAGTCTTTTAGAGGAAACAGCAACATTAGTTGTGGCCTCCCGCATAATTTCAACACTAAAATGGAATCAGAAATTCAACACAGAATTACGACTTATCTTTGTAGCATGAGGGACTGTTAATTTCCCTGCGTCTAAAGAAACCACGGGGTGTTGGGGGGACAAACGCTCCTCTCGCCGCTGCGCTTCGCTCCAGGTGAACATGAGAACGGTCGGTAGAGGGCGACACAGTCCACCGTTTGATGGCACCAAGCACCCGCCGATCCTACCAGCACCGGCTTGCTCATTCGCCTATTTTGAAGTTTGTCTTTTCGCTTTATTGACAAAAATTAAATTTGTCCTAAATAGGTAATAAACAGCTATTTTTCCCGTTTCATCTATTTGTTAAGGCCAACTATGTTTTAAGCAAAATGAATAGTTAGAATGGATAATTAGGACATTCTCAGGTTTAGTCCAGACTCAACAGAACTCATGCTTAGTTTTGTTAAGGAGCTCTGCCTTGGACAGGACTGGTCTCTGGTGCTGGATCAGGGATTTCATTGGAGCCCACTCAGTCTGAGACGCGCCTAGTAAAAGAAAACACTTGTAAACAATTTAAGTCCAAGTCAGTTCAACTATAAGAATGATTTTTAAAACAGTTTGTGTTCACTCTAAATCCAGGTTATAATGGTTTTTCTATCTCTTACATTAATGACCTGATGCGGCTCTTCAGTGTCCCTAAACAACAAAACGTGTCACTTTCTGAGGCTGTCCGCTCTGGCACATCTACAAATGCCTAAATAATGTTTGTTTAATTCTTCGGTTAGTGGACCCACTCCACTCAAAACTACATATTCTCGTGGGAATCATCTGCCAAAACTCTTAACTTAATCCGTTTTGACGTGGTTGTGCACAAACGCCTCATCTCAGATCATTTCAGAGGGGTTTCCCCCACCTCCCAAGCTTTGCGCTGGTCCTCCAGCCGCTGCGCATAAATCTAATTGTAGTGGCAGTTAAGACTGTTTGTGTGCCTTGCGCTTCTTTTATTCCTCAGCTCTCCCACCAAGCAACTTAACAAATGTGAAGAGACCAGATGCATCGCTCTGCTGGGCTGGATCAATTTGAACAACAGCTGATATGACTTGTCTCAACTTTGTTCCCTCCTCAGATGGTGAAATGGTTCAATTCTGCGTCAAACGGTTGATCATGAAAATTGTTGTGAAGAGAGAGAGTTTATGCTCAGAATGCATCAGCGTAATTTAAAAAAGCGTTTCAGAATATATTTAGTCTAAATATGTAAGCATTTTAAGTAGTATTCTTGAGCAAAATCCCTTAGTGACACGTTAATAAAGAATGCGTCGTGGCTCCTCAGGACACTTTCGGCTCTTCGTTCCCCTCTCTTGAAGCCACTTAGCTGCAGCTCTGAAGCCCCAGACAGCCTCTTTCCAGTGCCTCCAGTGCTGAGTTTCCATTTTAATTCCCCATATTCCACGAACAGGCGAGACAACAATGTGATGTACAGTTTCCAGTGTGTTTCCCATTACATGCCAGGCAGCGTCCCACAATGATGCCTTCAGTCTTCGAGGTGACACCTCCAGCTGTGAGGCCGAAACCAAGCGCTTTTATCCAACAGAGTCAGCCACATCTCACTGCTCGGCGTCCAGGGGAGAGACCATATGATGCACGAGCAAAAGAAATCTACTCTAAAAAGATCTATTGCATTGTTTGATGCAAAGGTTGGGTACAATTTACGGGTCAAAGTCATTCTCATTTTAGTGGTTAAAACATTTAAAGAAACTTTTCCAGAACTGCCATACAGAACGAAACGGGTGGAGTGTAGTGTTATAATTGGATAAACCAATTAAGATTGTAAAACTATTCTACCAAGGGTTCCTTGTGCTTTATTTGATAACAAAACGCCCCAAATCTCTTAAGAAACGTTTGAAACACCTTTTGGATTTCAACACAACCTTTTAATTACCTTCTACTAATCCTCTCTTTATATTCCGTTCATGTAAGTATATCCACAGTGAATTGGTCGCTCAAAAAGGCGCAGTAAGGTTCCTTTTGCAGCGGTAATAATCCTCAGAGATCCTGCGCTGTGAGACCATATGTGCGACCCTCTCTCCGCATCCACGACCGCCCTCACAACTGCGCTCCAGCTACAGCGACCTGTAACTGATTCAGTGTTACAGTCCTCCCTCCTCCTCTCCTCAACCCCCTCCTAAAAAGAAATCATCTGTCCCAAAGTAAATAAGTCTCAGGAAATAACACCCCACCCCCAAGCAAGCGCTGGACCCCTTTTCAAAGTAAGAGTCTTTTCGAGGAGAAATGCAAATGAATATTTTCGATGAAATGAGAGGTTGGAAATGGATATAAGTTCACTTCGGATAGGAGAGCTTTTGGGAAACACAAGTAAGTCTGATGTGTAGCTGATCTGACGAGCTTGTTTTGCATTTAATCATGTTTCACTTTGACACCTTCTCACAAATATTCTCTTTTTGTAGGTGCAATTGTTGGCGATTCACCCCAGCAAGCTTTTCCACCTGATTACAACAAAGGCGTTGCGCTTTTTAATGTTTATGGTGCGATGCTCGTTAATGAATGGACTCAGATCTTGTGCAGCAACTGGAAAAAGCTGAGCGATGAGCTCATAGAGGGCGCTCTAACACTGTCATATCACCAGCGGTCCCCCGCTCCCCACTATATGATTTCATGGCGCACACGCACACACACTTAAATTTGATTAAAAAAAAAATAGAGAACCATCATGGTAGTTCTTCTATTCTGCAGCACAGAAAACTAATTGAACCTCTGTTTACTTGCGCACATGCGCCAGCTGTTTACCGAGTCCGAAGCACAGCCTTTATTAATTTGTACTACCCCAGCCCCCTTTTAACCCGCGGCTCTCCTCACGGGCAGCAGAAGAATAATGGGCCCCTATGAATCACCTACTGTATCTCTGGGCAGCACAGAAGAGGGGCATCAGAGCAGTGTCTCTGCATGGAGCAGCAGCGCCCTGGGGCCGACGCTCACCGACCCCCTCCTCCTCTCCCATCTCTGTGCAGCCGCTTGGCGCAATTACTTCCACATGGTGCCGAAAAGAACAGTGTCCTCGTTCTTGAAACAAAGGATCTCAACTTCGGAAGGCCAGGCCTACCACACCGGGCTGCGGTTAGCACTTTTGAAGGAGTTTCTCCTGATGCATTGACCCTATTCTCCCTAACCTGCCAAGCAAACAGCTGCTTGGCAGTTTGAAACAGTCTGAAACATTGTTGATTGTTTTAAGAGATTTAAGTGCTATAAAGGGTAAATATCGACCTTTGCTAAAAAAAAAAAAGAGAAAAATCTTTTGAGCATAACAGGAGACTTAGAGCAAAAAGTCCCCAGTAATCAGTCTTTTCCAAACAGTTCCAATTAAACCTCTCTAAAACGTTTGCTGAATCATACAGGCGTGTTCTTGTCTACATAAAATGACGGGCAACTCTAGGGTTACAGTAAAATTGGCCTCATCACATGTAAGTTATGGGTTATTGTGCTTGCACTTAAACTGAATATGGGACAGGGTGGAGGCCAATACGCTTTCAGTAACCTTAAGTCAGTCAGGATGTTTGTACATCATGCTTCAAACCGGAACCCTGCTTTACCAGCATTACTCATTTTCTATCTGTTGCTTCCTTCTTCGTCCTGTCTCCAACTGTCCACCAGGGGGCTTTGGGAAACTAGACAGCTGTACTAAAATAATACTCTATACTGAGTTTGTGCAAAGAGAACACACAAAGTATGTCGACGAACAATGAATAGGCAAGAGATACATTTCATTACACACAAGGTTTGTCTTTGCTGTTTTAAAAACTAGGCCTAAAAACAGAGTAAGAGTCACTCACACACTCAGCGCGTGTTGCCTTCTGATAAACAGGTGATGTTCAACATCCCGCAAAATCCGCCTTGTTTTTATCCAAACGTTCTTAATGTAGTTCACATAAACAACCTAATGCTAAAAAGAATTCCATCGTGTCACTCTCCCACTTCCAAGTGTGTGAGTATATACAACATAATGTCTAAATACACGTGGACACACAACACAATAGGCCTCTGTCCTGCAGTCTGAAGATGACCCCGCAGACTGACCGTGGCCTTTTGTCCCCGTGGGAGCTGTCCAGCGTGCTGAAATCAGTCCTCACCAGCCAAACCACTGAAATAACATAGAAATAGGCTACATACTTCTCTATTCTTTATTCTCCATCCTCTATTTTTCAATTGCTTCGACCTCTTTGAAACTACACTTGAGAGGAAGCCTTTGTCGGGAGGTTTCTGTCCAGTCTGTCAACCAACCACTCTAAATCTGACAAAACAAAACACAGAAGAAGATAACATTTTTCTTTATACTAGTCACATAGTCCAGTCCCTAGCCCATACACATTTAAGGATACTATTTCAACTGTGGGCAAACAAAACAGATCTAGTGCTTATAAAACAAACAACAAGACAATCAAACAAAAAAAACAAATATAAATTTTATTTATTACACATAACTGTACCACAGAAGAGTAAGGGCTTTACTGTCGGTTCCTTAACTAATTCTAGCTCATTTTCAGTATTATAAATGACATTCTTTAATATTCCACTGTAATATTCTCTGTGGATATACCTGACCTTGACAGATCTACCCACCTGACCTTTGACTTTTGGTTTTGCAAGGTCACCATTATGATTAATGAACAGTGACACATAAGAGATTGAGATTAGCCCCCTCGACAAAACCAAATTCAGTTGTTTGAATGTTACACTTTGACTGCAACCTGACGCCTGTGGCTTGATAAGGCCATCATCAGAGTTCCTCCCTGGTTGGCTTCACAGTCTACAGTCGGATTCTGGTGAGTGCTACAGGCCACATGTAGTCTATGGAAGACGAATATGGTGCTTCTGATTCCTAAATAAAGTGGACGTCTCTTCAGGAACACGCCATTGCCCTCTTTTGCACATTGGTACTTCAGCTTCTTCTAGCCTGCGTCTCTCCGCATGAGACAGCAGCTGCAACCGGCTGAAAGGCGCTCTTTTAATTGTCTTTTGTGATGCGTAATTGCCACATTTTCAATGGTTGCCAAGTGGTCTCGTTTTTCTGTGCATTAGTAGGTATAGGCCATCTAAAATGTGTATTCCACCGCTTCTTCTTTGCATTAATGGAAGCATTATACAGCAGTGTGATTAGTAGAAGTTTTGGAAAAGATAGCCATTCGACCTGGGGAAATATATGTGGCTTCATCCCATTATATGTACTGTGTGGGGCTGGACAGGGGGAAGGCTTTCCCCAAACTGCCGTTTATTTTATTGTTAATCGATTTCAAATGCTGCATCGGTCCTTCACACCTGCAAGGGAGCTCTAATTCGATTAATAGGAACTTCAATATATATTCATTAGATGGCTTTCCCCCAATAATATATGATCACCAGCGGGATGTGAAAGGGGACCATTTATTCCGTTCTGAATAGGTCTGCGTGGGACCAAAACTTCACCTGCTTCCCCTCTCAATTAGGAATGTATCCCAAACTCTGACAGAAACGAGTTAAATTAGGCGTCAGCTAATTTCCAATGGCCCCTCCGACGTAATCCCTCCTCAGAGGTCTTTCCATTTGAGCATGCCCCCTCTAATTCACCATAAGTTGAAAGGTTCAAATAGTGCCTAATGAAACAGTGACTAAATCGTTCTCTGTCGCTCGGAGGAACCCTGTAGCTGTCTCTCAAAGCTCTCTGAGCACACAGCCGTCGGGGGGTCTCTGGATAAATGCGAGTCCCAAGGCAGGACAATCTAACCTGTCAAAGCCTTTGCCCACTTCTATATATCCTTGTTCTGTGGTTTGGAGCAGTAGCAGCATAATCAACCAACGTGGGACCGAAACCGCAATTAAACTCGCTTTGGACGACCAAAATTCTTTTCAAAAGCGAACATTAATGAACTTTTGGCTGCACTCCAGGGGCGTTATCGGGTAGCCCTTTGTGGTCAGTTCTAAGAAGAAATTACAGCTACACTTTATAAGCTCACGCCATCCATTTAGAATCAAATAGCTTATATCATGTAAATCCAGCTCTGCTGCATAATGTTTCTAAATAAAATAGGGACCTAGGTGTATTAACATATCACCAATAGCGTGGTAAGGACAGCTTAATAAGTCGAATGATAAATAAAAGTTGGGAAGGCTACGCAGTAAAACAGGTAGTGGCCCATAACCGCTCTCATATTTGATGTTCACGTGTGCAACTCCTTAACTCCTTAAGGGTAATTCAATTAGTAAAGAAATAACCTCATTAATCCAACCAAATTAATACAACTATTTTGTCATTTCAAAATGTGGTGTTAGTGATGTACTCATTGTGTTTTAGAAAGGGAACCTTTTGGCGGAGACACAGTTTCTTGTATTCTTGTATGATTTGTAACTTGGAGTGGTCTGGGCCTTTTGGTGCATGATAAAATAAAATAATCCGTCTCTCGGTCCCTATACAGTTTTTCCTGGAATTCATTATTTTAGAAGGAATTTTCTATGCTCGTAATTTGGGCCGGACATAATTCAACACAACATTATACATGTTCATTGTAAGACCAGCGTTTGGTCATAAAATACCATGTCAAAGAGAAGGCATTTAGAGTATTTAGATCAGCTCTGAAATGCAACAATCAAAGGTTTTTTGTGGACCAACATCTCGTTATTTTTGTATATTCTTTTCAATAATTAGAATATGTTCAGTAATAGATCTGTTTGTAACTGAAGCCATTAGTGATCATATTAAGTCAATACACTGACAGATTAGTAGGTCATCTCGTCATGTTTATTACAATAAATACAGATATACATATTGTACAAAGTGTTGCGTACAGGTTCCACATAGGTTAGGCCTCGCTGACAGGAATAGGATGTTGGGGGTTAGTTAACAAGGTTTGTAGGGGAGAACCCTGAAGGGAACAAAGTACATTAGTCTGTTACGCATACAGCAGGTCCTGTTTCCATATTCTTAAGAACATAGACACATATTTTCCCTTTCACTTAACAGCAGTATATAAACATGAAGCCAGGGACATATTTTCAATATTTTTCTCATACTTCATGCAGGAGATTTTTGGCTCAAAGTTTGCCATAACCCGTAACTGTAGCAGGGTAGAGTAAGTGCCTGCAGTGGGAGTTAGGAAGTCCTGCTACTCAGATAGGTGACACCTCTTTCTCTTCCGAAGCAGAGGCCGGTGATAGAGACTCCTCGTCCTCTGACCTTGAATAGTCTGTGTGACCAGTTGTGCACTTACAACCGCTGTGTGCGCTCCTTTGGGTGGCTTTGCCCTCCTTCTTGTGCTTCACCCTGCGGTTCTGAAACCAGATTTTCACCTGTTTCTCGGACAGGTTCAAATAAGTGGCGATTTCGATTCTTCTGAGTCTCGAGAGATACATGTTCGTGGAAAACTCCCTTTCAAGCTCCAGGAGTTGTGTGCTTGTGAAAGCCGTGCGCATCCTCTTGCCATTCTGTATGTGGCTGTTCTCGGAGGCGCCTGTAAGAGAGGCAAAAGCATGTCAGACGTTTGGTTTCTTTCCGTCACCGTAAGAATAAACTCAACCAAAGATGCAAATAACGCAGAATATCGCGGGTAAATCAACGTGTGTAAAAGATGAGCCATAACATTCAAACAGGTGCTAAACCCTGTTCCCAGTTGTGAGTTGCGACTGTAGTAAACAGGTGGCTTACCCATAGAAAGACAGTGGTATCTTCTGGGATCTGTGACGCTGAAGGTGGGCGTGCAGACAGGTGTATGGCCCGGGTGCGCGAGTGCTGCGGACTGATGATGCGCTATTCTCTGACAGTACTGTGTCTCCGCTCCTGGGAACTGGCTCTTCAGTATGGGAATGCCGTTGCGCGAAGAGTGGATGTGGGACGTGACACACAGCGGGCAAACACAGAACGTCCCATTTTTCCTTGACGGGCACACCGGAGCTGTCACCGTCATTACGCTTGGAGAGTGCATGCTGATAGGAATAAGGAAGTCTTGTCCAGCGTGCTCAGCTGGCCCAGGTCGTACCGTATCCTTGATTATTAAAGAATCAACATAAAAAGACCTCGACATGGCTGCGCTGCTTGGAAGTGATCGCTTCGTAAGCAAGATGATAGTTGTTTCTCATCTGAACCCCTCGGGACCTCCAAAGGTGCTTATGTTTGACGGTTCAACAAAAGGGACCCTGAAGAGGGTTGGCCCTACAGCGTCACCCACGTGCGCACCCGGCTCTAAGAGCTGTTACTGTCAGCGACCCAAAACACGTGATGTCTCGCTGGGCGTCCAATCACAATTTGCAGTTTTACTCGTTTTACCCCCGACTTTAGAAAAGTATTCAACACTAGAAAAAATATATCCAGCCACTCTTGGTTTTTATTTCTCTATTTTACTTTTCAGACCACAGTTTTGCTCTTAGTCTTCTTAGACTGGCTATGTAGAAACTCATCCATCATTTTAAACAGTGTCCAATTATTTAAATAAATCTTCAAAAATATATTTACCGCAAAGATTTATCCTGCTGCTAAAATTTAGTTTAGTGTGTGCGAATTCACTTATAGGGAGTGGTCAAATGGAAATCTGAAAATGCACCTTCGTTAAATTTGGAAATATTGGGTATTGGATACATTTTTTTCAGCAAGTGACACTTTGAAACATGCATTAAATACATCAGATAAACTGGGAACAGCTGAAAGAAAGAACAGGCGCAGTAAAAGCTTAGATCAACTAAATACAACTCCTCTACAATAATCACTCGTTTTCCATGAAATAGATGTGATCATCGTTCCTTTCTTCCACTTCAACTTTGAGATAAATTAAGATTCGGCTTATCCCTTTTAAAGGACCGCATAATAAGCTTAATATGTAAAGCACAGCTATATAATATACCAGGCCGTTTATTATTATTATCATTATTATCTATTTCTCCCCAGATGCGCTTTATGGAATTGTGCAAGCGACCATACAACTAATTGCTTTGCACCTTAATCATACTTTGAATCCCGTCGGACCAGGTTTCAAGCAATTAAAGAATTATGAAGTGATGACGAGTGTGGGCTGTTGTTATTTGACAGCGATTAGGATTCAATTAGAAAGTGTTTATAATGCTCGGTCTGTGCGGGGTAAACAGCCAGTTATTTCAGAAATGCGCTAATCCCTCATCTTGTGACAATAATTAGCGAGTTGGATCCCCAGGCGGGTCACCGGTGGGTTTAGCCTCTGCTTTCATCTGCCAACAAACGCCTCGGACCTTCAGACAGAGACGAGCCGCCGGTGGGTTTATGGTCCAGACGGTCCAGGTCCAACACAACTTGTGTTAGCATCTCCTTTGACCTCAGAAAACAACACACACACACCGGTAGAATAAGTCTGTAGTGGACCACAGGTTTTAAAAAGTTTCCTTTTTTTATATTTGTCCGTTTTATAACACTTTTATCAACCTCCTCATTTTTGAGCAAATGGATAATTCTAGCAAACAGGCAGCGGGAGCACTTATTGAACTATGAGTTTAAATGCACTCTGAAAGAATTAGAAAGTCTTTAAAAAACAACAAACATGTCCATCACGCAGACAGTAATTGCAGTAATAAAGCGTTCTCCACAAGGAAGACACACAGCTACAGATAACAGTCTGAAATGAGAGAGAGAGAGAGAGAGAGAGAGAGAGAGAGTAAACCAAGCGGAATGATGCGTGACGCGCGCCCTCATCACACCATGCGAGCTCTAACATTATTTTTTTCTATAATTCTGCACGATAAAATTTCATTGTCTATTAGGTAATCCCACAAATGAGATCCTTTATGGGGCTATAATGAGGCCTAATTGCTAAGACTAGTGGAGCCACGTGGAAGGATTTAGGAAGCATTAAGCTGCCTGGGTACTGAGCACTGGCTGTTACCTAGCCATTACTTTCATAATTCAAGGAGAAAATTAGTCAATTTAAGGGAAAAATCCTCTGATTCCCTTTATTCTGCTTGGGGTGACAGGGCTGCAGTTTTTTTGCCTGCTTTGGTTAAATAGGCAACAAATGGGCCCTGTGTAATATCACTGTTTAAGAGATTTAAAAAAAGGAATTTCAGAAATGTATAAATCCCTCAGGGCCCCACCTCTCACTTGCCTCTTCTTTTTCTCCAATGTTGTGTTCCTTTTACTTTATACAGCGGTTACCCTCAACTATTCATCTCCTTTTCAGATCATGCTGATGGGCAATTAATCATTGGCCTATTCAAAAACATGAAAATGTAATTTAAACAGGGTATTTTTAAAACAAAGTTGATTCTTCTCGGGGGTTGGTTAGTGTCAGTTTATTCTCTTTAGTGGAAAACAAAAATTCAGTACGAGCATCTAAAAGTGCATCAAAGAGAGGGAAAAGGGTGTGTATGTTTGTATCCAGCTCCTCCCAGTAGTAAAACACACAAACTTGTTAAAATGCTCTGCTGAAGTCCCCCCCACCCCATTCTCATCGCATCCCATGCCATATTAAACCGTGAAGAAGTCCATTAATGTTTTGTTGAACAAGCGTCATTAACTTGTATCAACGCCTTTTTACAAACCTTGCATTGTTGTGCAGGGCCCAGTCTGCGGCCCATCTTGGCCAATACAGTGGATGATTTGCCCCTTTATTAGTTACCAGGCAACAGATCCTGAATACCAAAACTCAAAGGAAACACTCTGGTCCTCCATATAGATCTCAGTGGCGATGGGGGGAAATGAACAATGATCCTGTGGACAACATAATGCCACGCAGTGACTTTTCATTAACAATTATCTGGTTGATGTGAATAGCAGCTGCAGTGGCTACTCTCCATCTCATGGACTGTAGAGAAAAGGGGAGAGAGAAAAAGGTTTGCCAGTGAATAGCATCCTGCAGGAGTTTAGGGGTTTCATAGTCTCCATGAATGTGGAATCTAATTTATATCACAGTGAATAATTAGATTTATATGCAAAAATGAGTTGGAAATAATTACTTCTTAAAACAGCGTGACATCTTAACCAAATGAATAAAGAAAAGCAATCCTCTTTAATGTCTCAGCATTTTTCATTCAAAGGTCACGATCAATAAGATATATTTAAACCTTAGTCCCAAAACATATAAGGTATGGACTTCTCTTTCAGTAAAGGATTGCTGAGCTATCCCTGGAAATATCTGTTTCTGTGATTGGAACCAGACAGCACCATTAAGGAGCGTGGCCCTCAGTCCTATAGAAAAGTAAAGTGACAGACTCAGTGTAAGAAGAGGCTGCTGAACAATGTGGCAAGGGCCCTGTTGATGGCACGTAGAGATGTCCTGCACCAGGCTCCCACTAATTAGGGAGACGCTTCTCAGTCTCACAGAGCCGCTCAGACCAGACACTAGACTGAAGTGTGCCCCAGCTCCAGCGAGTGTGTCTGGACGTCCACACTCAACGCAACGTGTGTGCGTCTGCGGTTTGCAGTGCACACAATTAACAAGTCTGGAAAATGAGATAAACACCGAGAGATAGCGACGCCGATCACTGTTAAGTTCCCAGAGAAACATCTTTATATCACAGCTTATTGTTAAGAGCCCTGATTTGTCCCTCTGCCTTCTCTGCTGTTTCCAAAAGACTAAGCAGATGCTGTTAGGCAGCACAGAGCAGCCCTTAGTTCAATCTGTTCTTGCTTCAGTTGTCAAATAGTCCTGAATATTAAGGCTTTGTGTGATAGGAAGCTCTTTTTACTGTAGTGCATCTCCACACCACAGGAGATATCAGCTGTAAGGACTCATTATTGTTCCCTTCACTGGTTTCCAAGAAGATCAAGATGCTGTTTTAGCCTCAATAATGATTGGCCTTTTAGCAGACTTATTTGTGTTCAGCATGATGCTTTTAGACAGTTTTTTGCATGCTCAGACACACATAATGCAGACACCTACCTTGGATGTTATTTCTAATTCTCATTATTTGTGAAAACTCACAAACTGAAACCAGCTGGATGCAACCAATCAGACCAAAGGTTTTCAGCCCTCCTCTGCTGACAAATGAGAGCTCCTGACTTCCTGTGAAACATACATCAGGAAATGTTTTAAAGGGTGAATGACAGGAGTCCCTCCACCCTGGTGACCAGGCTCTCCCTCAGTCTGAAGGAGGTGATATTGTAGCCTCGTTTTCTCTCCCATTGAAAGGGGAAATCCCTTGGATTGAGCTTGTGTGCTGGAGCGGAAGCAGACTGGAATGTGTGTCCGGGCCGTGTCTCTTGTTGCCGGTCAGAACCATGAATAGACATGCACTGCCTCAGTTTATCAGACTTTGAAGAAGCCAACAATCCAAAATACTTCATCCGCATGTCATCTGCACCTTACACCTGTCAGTCACTTTTGTCCACACCCAATGGCATGATTGAACTTCTCAGATAAAAACTTCCACTGACTTACATCTGTAATCCAGTTAGCCTCCTGTAAACAAATCTAGGAACCTGCAGCTTTTAGCTTTTATTAGCATCATCTTTGCTGCATGGCTTGCTCTCCAAAGTTTGCTACATTTAGCCATAGGGGACAGGCTTTCATGGGCGTATTGCTTTCAGACTGACTCTACCTTTAAAGAAATAATGTTTCAGATTTATTTGCTCTCCTCAGATTAAAGATTGATTTGGAAAATTGTCATGTTGGGTGGAGTCAGTCATTTCGTTGATTTTCATTGTTGCCTGTTAGTGTCGCTCAGGCAGCTCGTTGCTCCCACTTCATCCTAGCTTTTGAGGTTTGAGGTCAATTAGAGGCTTTCAGAGAAACAGAGAAACTTATTTCTTAATTGAGGTGATGTCCACATTTTCATGTCTGTTATGCATACATTGGAAGATATGTAGAAGTTTAAAGGATGGTGGAGAGTCTGTCAGGCTGATATTTAATTTAATCTGCTCATTTGGACAATGACAAATTCATCCATCTGAATTTCCTCTGTTTTTCCTTTCATCATTGTTATGGCTGTTGGCATTTCATTTATTTTTGTTGCTCTGTTCTGTAAACACAAGCCACTATTAATGAAATCCTCCTCTAATTTTATACCATTCTTTCCTGTCAGGGCATGTGACTCTTTTCCTCTCACTTAAGAGGATTAACTGATTCATAAATGTTAACTGGCAGAAGGCAGTGACAGACAGTTGATTACTGTCTTTACATGTAGAGATGGCGCTACTTATTCTTG